AAACAAATATCTTCAGCTTTATAAAACATGAAGTTATTGTATTTATTTCCTTCTATATGTAGCCTACTTAATTTTTTCAATGATCAACCAATTTCTTAACCAATTATAAAAACATTTTGATGGTTAGAACTTTGTAGTATAGTTTGAGATCTGGTAATACTAAACCTCTATCTTTCCAGTTTTTTTTTCATTATTTCTCTTGAGATTCTTATAATCATGTTCTTCTAGGATAGTTTTGCTATTTCTCCTAGAACTATAATATAATCCTTTACTAATGTGGAATGGCATTGAATAAGTAAATTAATTTAGGTAATATTATCATTTCACTATATTGACTCAGTCTACCCCAGAGCAATTTTTTTCCATTTATATTTATGAGCTTTATTTTTTAAAGAATTTTCATAGAGATTTTTACAAGTTGTATTTATCTAGGTTGCATAGTCAGGAAGACTCACTTCCATGAGTTCAAATCTAGCATTATAGACTTACTAGCTGTGTGATCCTGGGGCAAGTCACCTAAACCTGTTTGTCTCAGTTTCTCATTTATAAAATGAGCTGGAGAAGGAAATGGCAAACTACTACAATATCTCTGCCAGGAAAACCTCAAAAAGGGTCACAAAGAGTCAGACACAACTGAAATGACTGAACAATAATAACAAAGTATGACTTAACGGGTAAAATATTTTAAATTTTCTGCAGTTATTTTAAAAAGGAGTATATTTTTTAGTGTTTCCTACTTGTGTTAGCATTATACAGAAATGCTGATGATCATGATCTATGTAGAATTACTTTATATCCTGCAACTTTGGCAAAGTAACTAATTGTTCAACTCTAGGGATCTCTAAGTAAACCATCATATCTGCAGTGATAATTTAGTTTCCTTTATGTCTATTCTTAACCACTTATTTACTTTTTCTTGTCATTGTATAATTAATATTTCTACTATTGTATCAAATAGTAGTAATGATGATGGACATCCTTGTTTTACCATAGAACATATTGAAAAGTTATATGGTTCATCTCATTACATTTAATGCTACAATTTTATTTTATATAAATACTATTTGTTATATTAAAAAAGCTATTTTTTTTGTTTTCTAGTGTCTTAAAGATAAGAAAGCCCTTCAAAAGCTTTTTCTGCATCTGTTAATATCGCCATATCATTTTTGTTGTTCTCATTATTAAGATGAGCAATTATGTTGGCAACTTTCCTAATATTGAAGTAATCCAGCATTCCTGGTTTAAATGCAATCTGCTCATACTCTATATAATATGTATAATATGTTGTTATACTTTCCTTTCTAATATTTTTAAGGTTTTATGAGAATGATTATTAGAGATATTGGTCTATAGTTTTATTTTTATTCTGTTTTAATTTTCTATAATTGAAATAATGACCATATTTGTGTCATAGAAGGAATGTGGAAGTACCCCTTCATTTTCTAATTTTCATACAGTTTATGTAATATTGCAACTATTTTGCTCTTTGAAAATTGATAGAATATATTTGTAAATACACAGGATCCAAGGTTTGTTCTTCTTGCCATTATTGATTTGTTTGGGCATATGTTTAGAGCTGGTATTAATTTCTTCTCAAATTTTTTTTAAGATTTTGTTTTTTGTTCTGTTAACCTGGTCACTAACTTTTGTAAACACTAATCCATTTTATTTGGGTTGCCAGTTTTATTGACATATAATTGGATCAAATAGGTTTTTGTTTAAAACATAATTTTTAATTATTCTTCAAAAATTATTCTTTGTCAAAAATAATTGTACTTCATTTTAGTTAAGTAAAAAATGCTTAATAGTTTTTTTTGCATTTGTTTGAAAGGTTTGCATGCTCTGACACATTGTCAATTTTAATAAAGGTGTGTGATTACCATTAAATAATAATCACTTGAGGCTGTGATATCTAACTTTTCTAAAAATCAATTTGAATCTTTAAATTATTTATTTTTTGTTATATCTAGTTGTGTCTGAAAAGAGATACATTGAGAAGCATCAATATTATAGTTTTATGGTATATTTCTTCCTGTAATTCATTTAACTTTTCCTTGAACTATTTAGATGCAATGTGATTAAGTGCATATATGTGTAATATTTATATTCATTCTTTATGGTTTCTTTCAGCAAAACATAGGTTCCTCTATACCTCTTTTCATGAAAATGATTTTTCCTGTTACTTTACTTGAAATAATAATGGCTATCCCTGCTTTTTTTATCTGTAGCTGAAATACAATAGATTTTGTTCCAGCCTCTTATTTTAATTCTATGTGTCTTTATATTTCTTGTAAACAAAATATGGTTGAATTTTATGTTGGAATTTATTATGTTATCCTCTTCCATTTTGTGTGAATTAATCCCAGTCATATTAGTACTTATATGTGTATTTCCCTCCACCTTATTCTTATATTATTTTTCTTCTCTTTGCTTCCCATTCCCTCATCATGTAGAAGATGGAGGTGATTTTAAGAATGTTTTCAGCACCAGTGATATAGATTTGATGCAATATGCTTTTGCTGTCTTTCCCCTCTTATTTTTCCTTGACACAGAGCCAATTCCAAGTTCTTAGGCTTTATTTCTTTCTCTGTAAACCTTTCTTCACACAACCCATTCTTTGGCTAGAGGTTTTTGTTTTGTTTTGGTTTTGCCTATAATTAATTTCACTCTTAATTTACTTTGTCTCTCATTGCTTCCTCTTCCCTTTCCACTTTTCCACCTATTTCCTTTTAACAAATATATCCTGTATATTACTTCGAGTTAAGTGCTTATTTTTTATAAATAGTTAAGCTTTTGATTTTTTGTGTGTTTTTAGTATAAATTTTACTTTTAATGAACAGAAATTCATTTGCTTTCTCTTCTACCTCCCACCCAACTGGAAAAAAAAAGAAAAAAAACAAATACATTGTTATAAATATGTATAATCAAGCAAGAGGAATTCCCTTACTAGGCCAAGCTAAAGGAATATATACCTCATTCTATATATCCTGAGTCCGTTACATCTCTTCCAGTAGGAGAATAGTATGCTTCACTAATGTTCCTCTAGATTTATGGATGGTCTTTTCATTTATCAGAATTGTTACAACTTTCCAAGTTGTTTTTTTCACTACAGTGTCATTATAAATTATTCTCCAGGTTCTACTCATTTCTCTCTCCATCTATTTAACAAGTGTTCAAAAGTATTAATTTTTATAATATTTATTTATAGTATAAAAATGTTCTTTTAGTTCTTTTCACTTTACTCTGTATAAGTTTATATGACTGATAAAATGCCTCTCTGAAATCATTTGTTTTTTAATTTCCCCAAAAAAAGAATAAATAGGTGAGATTATTTAGAAGACTGTTTCATAACTATAAATTTTATAGGCCACAATAGTGGTAGGAGTGGAGAGCATTAGAGAAGGGAAGGGAAGGGAGATAAAACACATTTATTAGATGCCTATTATATGCCAGGCACCATGCTAAGCACATTATAAATATCTTGAAGAAAATTTTTACATTAAAAATTGCAATCTAAAATTTCATGATGGAGATCTTTTAGGAATTTTGAGTTCACTTGGACTATTCATTCCATACCATTTTTTCTTTAAAAGAATCCACATATTCAAACAAATTCCTAATAGAAATAGTGTCAGTCTAATGATTACAAATCAAAATAAAATAATCCCTACTTTTCAAAAAAAATGAAAGATGGTGTTGGCTTTTGGGCTAGGATTCTCATTGGATAGGATGAATCAAGAAGAATACATTATGTCATAAGACCAGTTCATTGTGTCCTACAGCCAACTCGGGTGAAAGTGGAGGAAGGGAGCATATTTGAATAGGACACATAGCAGGTAGAAGTTAGTAAGAGTGAACAGGAAAGCCGCAGGACCAAGCTTCAAACTACAAAAAGACTATGCAGAAAAATGCTTGTGAATCAGAGACCCACTAGTCATGGTTATATAGTTTATGCAAAATACTAAATGAATAGAATAATATTTTGCAGTTTTTTCTCTAGTCAGGGAACATCATACTCCTATGATACTTGTGGCTGGGAGAACATTTCTCGTGAAAGACATTTTCTTTGTATTGTACCTCTCCAAAGCTTGAACATTGGGTCAGCAGTGTGGAGGCATCACCCAAAAAGACATTAATTAAATGGGTGTGCTTTTCAATTCACACTTAAAAATAGCTAGGGATTTTATGTTATTGCTGCAAGGAAATGTCCAATGGTGGCATTGTGTATTGAAAAATTACTGCTACCAAAAATAAGGCATTTACAAACTTTTTAAGGCTATGAGTCTCCCTATGTGGGGAGTGGTAGGAGGAAGTAGAGAGGAAGATGAAAAAATAGCAGCCATATCGATACAGTACCAAGACTGGCATGACCTGCAGAGGAAATTACAGTTCTGAGAGATCTCAGCATGCTACAGCCTACAGCACCTAGTCCTATGTATTCTGTAACTTCTGTGCCATGAAAAACCATCAATAGAATGCTCAATGCTCTCTTGTCCTGTCAGGAAGTCAAAGAGATGCTGAGAAGAAAAAGATATCCATAGGATCTTTCTGTGAGTGAATGGATGCTACCCTTCTCAGTTATGTTAGAGTCTTTGGGGTTAATTAGGAAATGAAGCTCCATCTCCTTGGGGATATTTTGAGGATGACATTCATTTTGACAGTTTAATACCTGAATCATTCTTTTTTATTGTCTTACTATTGAATTTCATTAAATGTCTTTTGCCTTGTAAAAAGAAATGTGAGAATAATATTAAATGCTGTCCATTTTTTTAAAAGTGCTGTGGTTTCTTCCTTAGTAGTTAAGATGAATGTAATTGAGGAAAACCATTACTATGACTTACTAAGCATGATGGATTCTGTGCTAGAGAAACCATCAAAACTATGACCTTCTTTCAGTGACTTGCAATATGAATTGGACAATAAAAGTAAGACAGCAAATAAATAAAAGTATCTGAAGTTCTTATGTTCTAGTTGGAAATTAATTGGAAAGGTTTACATACCCAAAATTTTTCTTTTCTTCCTTGTGCTCCTCTGAGTACCCCCCATCTAGATATAGAATTTTGCAAAAAAAAAAAAGGGAGAAGAATTGGTAGACTTCTTAAAACTTCATGAGCAGTCTGTATCCTAAAATATCAACAGCTTTTTCAATTTTTTTCTAAACCCTCTGTAATCATATGACTTTCCCCATTCTCTTCCTTGTACTGAATCTTCAATTACCTTTGTTAGAAAAAATTATATCCAAATTCAGAGCAATTTACCAAATGTCCATTTACTAGATAGATGTCTCAGTGGATAGATTATTGTGCCTGGAGTCAGGAAGACCAGAGTTCAAATCTGGCCTCAGACATTCACTAGCTATATAATTCTGGGCAAATCACTTAACCACTGTTTGCCTAATCCACTGGAGAAAGAAATGGCAAACCACTCTAGCATATTTGCCAAGAAGACCCCATATGGGACCAAAAACAGTTAGACACAACTGAACAACTCACCAATATATTAATATACTAAGCAGTTACACTATGCTAGGCCTTGAGGACACAAAGACAAAAAACACAGTTCTTCATGAAGGAACTTTTATTTTTCTTGAAAGATCTGGCTCAGATATAAATTTATTTTTTAAAAAATTAAGTATTTGGTAATAACTGAGATAGGCACATCTACTACCTTTCTCTTTCTACTGCATTGGATATAGACACAGAAGTTATCTCCCACAGGAAATGGACATTCAAGAATTTTAGGACAATCAGGTACATTCAGTGGATACAGAACCTTGCAAATTATAGCTACCAATTTAGATAACTAAAAATGTAGATGACTACAGGGGATGCAGATGGCATGCAGGGATTTACCATGTTGAGGAATACATATGATCATAAAATCATAGATATAGGACTTGAAGGACTTTGGAGTCCATCTGGTCCAGCTGTTTTATTTTATAGATATGGAAACTAAGGTTCAGAGAGATTAAGTGAATTTTTCACAGTCACAGGGATAATAAGAGGCATAACCAATATTTGAATCTAAGTACTGTGACTTCAAGTTCGGCACTCTTCATTGTACCAAATAAAATAAATAAGCCCATAAAAAATTGCTTGTATTTTTTTTCTAAATTAAGGGTGGAATGAAGTGTAGTGGAAAAACAACTGAGATTAAAGTTATATAGCCTGAGTTGAAATCATTTCTTTTGTCATTTTGATCATCTGTGTGATTTTGGGTAAGTCAATAACTTCACTGGGTTTGTTTCCTAATTTATGAAATGAGTGGGTTCAAATAGATAACCTCCAATATCCTTTCCATCTTTTAATCTGTGATCATAATAAGTCATATTTTCACACATATCCACTGTTGGCAATGCACAGTTCTCTAATGGCAAACTTTATATTCACGGTTGTCCTTACAAAATGGCAGAATGTGTGCATGCATGCATGCATGTACGTATGTATGTATGTTTCTGTGTGTGTTATTTGAGGCTCATAACCTTCTTTCCTGCCAATTTATTTCTAAGAGCTGAAAACTTGCCTTTAGACATAATCATATTGGATTAAAGCATTGATTATCCCCAGAAAAAATTAAAATATACCTAGAAATAACATATTGTCACACTTTAATGCAGCTAACTGAGGGCATTATTTGATAAATCTGTGCTATCAAATCATTGTTTAATAGGTCAGGGTCAAGTTGTTTGCTGGGAAGGACAGGCTTTCTAGGACAACTTTGATCATCAAGGGTTCAATATGCAAGCACTTTTGAAGTGCCTTTTATTTTTGAAGGAGTAGTAGGGCCAGATACTTGAAAAGGAACGTAGGATGGCACCAAGAGCTGAATTATATCTATACCACATGAAGCAAGAACTCAACTAGGTGAGCTGGCCACCTTTTCTACTTTGTACTTATTTTTCTGAATAGATGATTAAACATAATTCATGGGTTAGGTGTGTCCAGGCTTAAAAGTGACTTTATGACTTTGAAAAGTATGAAGGTTTTGGATCCCACTGAACCAGAACTGACCAGTAGCTTTGGGAAGAATCCCAGGAAAATATTCCAATACTTTACTGTACTGGAAAGAATCCATGTCCTTCAGTGCTTCAGTTTAGTCACCTGCAAAAAGGTAACCTCCAGTGGCAAGACATCCACGTGATTTAATGTAGCCCCAAGTAAACACATAAGTGATCATTCAATGAAATTGAAGGATTTCAGCTTTCATAAGGAGAAGACCAGAATCAAACCAACAGTTTGATCTCCAATATCAAGACTCAAGAGAATCATAAACAGATAAAAAGGGGAAAGAAAACATACGGGATTCAATAGAGTTGAAATGTTTACATTCCTACATAGGAAGATGATAATTCTAATTCCTAAAAATTGTATCACTAATAGTATGGTTAGAAAGGATATACATAGACAGAGGGCACAAGTATAAGATAAATTAGAGGTAATGACATGACTAAAAATTAAGTGATGAGAAAGAGGAGTACACTGAGTGCAGAAGGGAGAGGTCAAATGAGGTAAATTATTTCATATGAAGAAGCACAAAAGACCTATTACAGTGAAAGGTAAGATGGGAGGATGAGCCATGGGCATTGCTTGAACCTTACTCTCATCAGTATGGGCTGAAAGAAGGTATAATATATACAATCAGTTGAATATAGAGATCTATTTTACCTGACAGGGAAGTAGGAAGAGAAGAGATTATATAAAGTTGGGAGGGGTGGGGGACTGACAGAAAGGAGAGCAGATCAAGGGAGGTTGTAGAAAGAAACAAAATAGAAATGAGGAGGGACAGGATGAAAGGAAAGAGAGGAAAAACAGGAGGAAGAATAGGATGGAGGGAAATACACAGGTAGTAATCATAACTGTGAATGTGAATGGGATGAACTCTCCCATAAAACAGAAATGGATAGCAGAGTGGATCAAAAACCAGAATCCTACAATATGTTGTTTACAAGAAACACACTTGATGCAAGGAGACACACAGAGAATAAAGGTAAGGGGTTGGAGCAGAATCTGTTATGCTTCTGCTGAAGTAAAAAAAAAAATGCAGGGATAGCAATCTTGATTTCAGAAAGAGTAAGAGCAAAAATAGACCTAATTAAAAGAGATAAGGAAGGAAACTACCTCTTGCTAAAAGGTACCATAGACAATGAAGCAATATCAATACTAAACATATATGTATCCACTGATATAGTATTCAGATTCTTAAACAAGTAGTTGAGAAAGTTAGAGGAAGAAACAGACAGGAAAAAAAATACTAGTGAGGGACCTCAAATATCCCCTCTCAGAACTTGGTAAATCCAACCAAAAATGAACAAGAAAAAAACTAAAGATATAAATTGAATATTAGAAAAGTTAGATATGACAAACCTTTGGAGAAAACTAAATGGGACCAAAAGGAATATACTTTTTCTTAGCAGCACATGACACCTACACAAAAATTGACCATGTATTAGGGCATAAAAATCTCAAAATCCAATATAAAAAGGCAGAAATAGTAAATGTATTCTTATTGGATCATAAGGCAATAAAAATTACATTCAACAAAGTGCAATGGAAAGATGGATTAAAATATAATTGGAAACTAATTTAATCCTAAAAAATAAGTGAGTCAAAGAACAAATTGTAGAAACAAACCATAATTTCATTAAAGAGAGTGACAACAATGAGACAACATATCAAAACTTTTGGGATACAACCAAAGTAGTACTTAGAGGAAAAATTAGTTCTCTAAATTTTTAATCCACAAAATGGAAAAAGAACAGGTCAATGATTTGTGCTTCAAAATAATTTTTAAAAAACTTAGAAAAAGAACAAATAAAAAATCTCCAATTGAGCATCATATTGAAAATCTTGAAAATGAAAAGTGAGTCTAATAAGATGGAAAGTAAAAGAAAATGACCTAATAAATATATCTAGGAGCTAGTTTTATGAAGGAAAAAAAAACAAGATAAAGAAGGCATTGGTTTACTTGATTTAAGGAAGAGAAAGAAGAAAAAAATATCCAGTATCAAAAATAAAAAGGGTGAAATCACCACCAGTGAAGAAAAAATTAAAGTGATCATTAGGAAATATCTTGCCTAATTATATGCCAATAAATCTAACAATCTGAGCAAAATTTATGAGTACTTATGAAAATATAAATTACCAAGATTAAGAGATCAGGAAATAAAATGCCTAAATAACACCATATTAGAAAAACAAATTGAACAAGCCATTAATGAACTCCCTAGGAAAAAAATTTCCCAGAGTCAGATGGGTTCACATTTGAATTCAACCAAACATTTAAAGAACAATTACTTCCAATACTATATAAAATATTTGGAAAAATTGGTGAAAGAACCTAATAAAACTCCTTTTATGATACAAATGTGGTGCTGGTATCTAAACAAGTAAGAGTTAAAACAGAGAAAGAATATTATAGACCAATTTATCTAATGAATATTGATGCAAAAATTAAAAAAAATATACTAGCAAGGCAATTACAGCAGTATGTCACAGAGATTATGCACTATTACCAAATGGGACTTATACCAGGAATTCAGGGTTAGTTCAATGTTAGGAAAACTATCAACATAATTGATAACATCAATAATAAAACCAACAGAAATCACATGATTACCTCAATAGATGCTGAAAAAGCTTTTGACAAAATACAATACCCATTCCTATTAAAAACATTAGAGAATATAGGTATGAAGGGAGCATTCCTTAAAATGATAAGCAGTATCTATCTAAAATCATCAGCAAGCATTATCTGTAATGGGTAAGCTAGAAGCCTTCCCAATAAGATCGACGGTGAAATAAGGATGCATATTACCATTGCTATTATTCAATATAGTATGAGAAATGTTAGTTATAGCAACAAGAGAAGGAAAAGAAATTGAAAGTATTAGAATAGGCAATGAGTAAACAAAACTATCACTCTTTGCAGATGATATAATGGAATACTTAGAGAACCCTAGAGAATCAACTAAAAAACTACTGGAAATAATTAACAACTTTAGCAAAGTTTAAAGATATAAGATAAACCCACACAAACCATCAGCATTT